TGTGTTCTCAAACCAAGCAAAGCAATGAAGAGTCAGAGAAGTCAACACAATCAACGCGAATAATGCATTTGGCTGTCTAAATAACACATTTGTGAATGGTGCTACAGGTACTACTCGCAAGTTTTCAGCAGTCGCTTTGCCGTTCATCTTGATGCTTCGTTGATTCCTAACGCTTGCATCATAATGCAAACATAATGCAAAAATTTGACTGCTGCACAGTCTCACGACATTTTGTAGTCCAAAACAATGAATAAATAATTTTTTTGTGGGAAAAAATTTGTACAAACGAATATTAGGTAGGACGATTTCAGTGCCAAATTAACCCTAAATTTTGCAAGATGGTTGCCATTCATTTCCAAGTGGCATTTAGCTTAGATATAGGGGTTATTTTATGGGCCCTACTTACCCCAAAATCCTCATTCTTGATCATAACCTCCCCTTAATTTCTGCTACATCAACTTGGCGGTACATTAATTGCTAAGTTCGCGGTAAAGTATCAAATTTTACTGTCCTTTAGCTTTTCATTATTTCATTTCTACTTAAAATCCTCTAACGCTCTGCTGAGCCCATCTTGAATTGGACTGTTGGAGGGTCTGCAGAGGAGCATAACAAGAAAAAGTAACAACTATGATTTCTAGATGGTTATCACATTACTGTATTTCTGTCCTCCTACAGTCATGGTTCCACTGCAAGTGCCATCAAACTACAGTCTCTCCCAACCAGTCATTATCGCACTCTCTTGCTTCGTTGTCATCTGCCTCCTCTTCTTCCTTGCCTTCGGTTACACATTCCTACGTCAGCGGTGTAGCTCGGTTTCGAAATCGGGCTACACATTTCATCAGTCATCCTACGAGACTTTCGACTCGCAGACTCCAGCTCCATCCATCCTCCTTGACGAGCAATTTGTCCAACCACCTGGTTCAAGTTATCGTTCCACCACCCTCTCCCCTATCCACGAAACTCATTCTGAGAGTCTCAGAATCCCTGTGCTATCGCATCGGCGCCATTCTGCCCCAAAATCTATTCAAAACTTATGGAGAAATGAAAGACGATTACTTCATCGACCTACCAACAGTTGCATCCAGTTCTCTCAACCATCTAGCCACTCCCCCATTCTCCACCTCTCAATCAGCTATGTCCACACTGTGGAGCTGTTTCGAGTAGTTGTAGACAAAATTACTGGTCTGCCCCCAAATGAAGGGGTCCGGATGATCTACACATTACAAGTAAGGATCATTTCCAGGTCCAGAACCAGTGCTTATTTAAGCAAACCCATGGTCACTCCAGCAGTCCCAGAGTACCCTAAGTTCGATCACCTATTTGAGTATGCAGTAAGCCTGCAGCGCTTGGAACAAGCTCGTATGGAAGCCAAGCTCTACGCCAGGCCCTGGAACGATATATTGACGCATGGACGAAGGCGGTATACATTGGGAGCCATCCCCTACTTATCTTCGGGCACCTCCGATGTCACCAGAGCTGTCAGTATTGGGTCACGACCGGAGGTCAATTTGACCGAGCTGTTACGAGAGTACAAGGAGGTTGGAAAGGCGGAATTAGTGCTCAATACAAGTTTGTTGCGTAGCAATCCATCGGCGCTGCAGTGCCTAACGCTGCCGCTCACCTATTATGAGGAGAGGGTGGTGCCAGAAGCCGATGCAGAGAAAAAGACGAAGGAGTGAGATCATCTGTCCCATCAGCTCTTTAAAACTAATGTGTTTAGCCGTACGAACTTTATTGTACGTAGTTTCATTGCGATTTTCATCATATAAAAAAGCCGTTCCATTTTTGCAAATCAAGCGTTTTTATAGGAATCCCATAGAATGCAAAATCATTAGAACATTTTAAAATAATTTGCAACCAACTAAAATCGCAATGAAATCCAATGTTTACTGTCTCATTAACTTCCAAGGAAGTCATTCAAATCGGTCAGTAAGCGTGAACTAATTGCCCACCCAAGAGAGTGGAAAACGGAAATGCATGCCACACTTGGAAACTAGAAATGGGAATCCCAAAGTGAACATCCCTGTCAACTGAGTCAGTTACTTCTGTGCCAAACTTGCATCGCTCTTCAAGAAAAGCCTCTTTTTGGGGCGTGGACAGCAAGTAAGAAATTGATGCGGATGGCGTGGGTGAGTCGGTAAGGGAGCATTGGAATTGCCCTCGTCTCCAGAGGGTCGAAAAATAAACTCTGTGGTGGGTAGGCAGTTGATGCCTCCGAGACACTTTCGACTCATAAACAATAAAAGGCACTTGATGCCTAAATAAACATAGGATTGTTTAAGCGATCAAGAAATGGTGGGTGATTGCGGTCTCAGAAGCGGTTCGTACTTCCCAGATCTTCGAAATTGGCACCGCTTACAAGTGATTTAAAAGCTGCATCATGTTTAGCCTTAATCCAGGATCCATCCGAGCACATGCTAAAAACCCTATTTTAACTGCACAGCATTCCCCTTTTAAAGGTTGCTCCTTGCTATACTTTTTCTTACTATGAGATGGATTTCGAAAAATTTGCTCGCCTTAAGGCCTGAGGAGATGTGAATATGTAATTGCTGGGAAGGGACGTGTGCAACCAGGGCGATAAATAAGACTAGCAACTAAAATCCTGCATTTTCGCTCTTCCGGCTTTTTTTGTAAGCACATAATCAGTTTGGCATACTTTATGTGGCGTCTCAAGAGAAGGTGACC